ACTGTGGGCATTCTGGCTAAGTTTGCAGATGATACAAAGATAGGTGGAGGGATAAGTAGTATTAGGGAGGCGGGGAGGCTGCAGAAGGATTTGGACAGGTTAGGAGAGTGGGTAAAGAAGTGGCAGATGGAGTACAACGTGGGAAAGTGTGAGGCCACGCACTTTGGTAAGAAGAATAAAAGCATGGACTATTTTCTAAATGGGGAGAAAATTCAGAAATCTGAAGTGCAAAGAGACTTGGGAGTTCCAGTCCAGGATTCTCTCAAAGTAAACTTGCAGGTTGAGTCAGTAGTCAGGAAGGCAAATGCAATGTTGGCATTTATTTTGAGAGGACTTGAATATAAAAGCAGGGATGTACTACTGAGGCTTTATAAGGCCCTGGTCAGGTCACATTTGGAGTATTGTGTGCAGTTTTGGGCCCCATATCTCAGGAAGGATGTACTAGCCCTGGAGCAGGTTCAGAGGAGGTTCATGCGAATGGTCCCAGGAATGGAAAGCTTAACATATGAGGTACGTTTGAGGGCTCTGGTACTATACTTATTGGAGTTTAGAAGGATGAGGGGGAATCTGATTGAAACTTACAGAATACTGAATGGCCTGGACAGAGTGGATGTTGGGAAGATGCTTCCATTGGTAGGAGAGTCTAGGACCCAAGGGCACAGCCTTAGAGTAATGGGAAGACCTTGTAGAACGGAGATAAGGAGAAACTTCTTCAGCCAGAGAGTGGTGAATCTATGGTCTTATGATGTGGTTTGAAGCTTGAGTGCCCTCTAGAAATCCAAATCATTTTCGAGGGCAGTTGGAGAGCGGCAATAGATGCCAATTTGCCAGTGACACCCAGGTGCAAAAAGAAGCAGAGGGAGGCCACAGCCTAGTGGTATTATGACAGGTCATGTTCCGGGGACCTGGGTTTGAATCCTGCCATGGCAGATGGTGGAATTGGAATCCAATAAATAATCTGGAATTAAGAATCGAATGATGACTGTGATTCCGGGGTCAGAAAAACCCATCTGGTTCCCTCATGCCCGTTTAGAGAAGGGAACCTGCCATCCTTACCTGGTCTGGCCCTACACGTGACTCCAGACCCACAGCAATGTGGTTGGCTTCTAACTGGCCTCTGGGCAATAAATGCTGGGCCTGGCCAGTGACACCCTCATCCCTGTGAATGAACAAAAAACAAAATGCTGACTTGCGATAGGCTGCCGGGTACTTTAATTCCTTTTCTTTCCAAACCCTTACTCAGGCTAAAGATGTCTTGGGCCAGTTCCTGCTTCTGAAACAAGACAAAGTGGCCTTTAAGTCCTGGATGAGGCAAGTGTGCTTCGCGGGCAACAGGCAATCCGAAGACTGTTATCGCTGTCTCAGAGAGTGGTGCGATGCCTTCCTCTAAAGCCTTCTCTTCCCCCTTCAACCCACTCCACACTGCCACACCCCCCTTCCACACACCAGGTTCCTGGGTAAATGACAGTAATACTTACCTCAAATAAACCTTAATTGCTATTTATTGATTGTTTGCAGCCCTAGGTCACCAGGGCTATTCCAGATTTTATGCTGTTTTGAAAAACTGATTTTTTAATAAAACATGGATAAGTTGCCTCTTTGCCATCCGTCTGATTCCAAGGTGATTCACCGCGGCATTGTCGCCAAACTGTGCCTTCTGCATTGCCAACAAAAAAAAAAACCTGGCTGCACTTTTCGGCATTTGCCTCCACGGTGGCTAGAGAATCCAGACAGGCGTGGAAGGAGTCATTTAAATACAAAACGGCCTAGTGGCAAGTCATAGAGTCACACGGCATGGAAACAGACCCTTCGGTCCAACCAGTCCATAATCCCAAACTAAACTAGGCCCCACCTGCCTGCTCCTGGCCCATATCCCTCCAAACCTTTCCTATTCATGTACTTATCCAAATGTCTTTTAAACGTTGTAACCAAACCCGCATCCACCACTTCCTCTGGAAGTTCATTCCACACACAAACCACTCTGTAAAAAAAAAAAAAAAGCCCCTCGTGTCTTTTCTAAATCTCTCTCCTTCAAAATGTGCCCCCTTCTCTTGAAATCTCCCATCCCAGGGCAAAGAACAAAGACAATTACAGCATAGGAACAGGCCCTTCAGGCCTCCAAGCCAGCACCAACATGCTGCCCGTCACAATTAAACCCTCCCCCCCAACAAAGAACACCTACCATTAACTCCATCTACACCCTTCATTATTTTATCAACTTCTTTAAAAGGTCACCTCTCAATCTCATACATTCCGGTCAAAAAAGTCCCAGCCTTTATAATTCAAACCTTCCACAGCAATACAACAATATCAGGTAGTCTGCTGAGGCAGAGGACGGTACAGAGATAAGCACAAACGCCCTTTAGAAATAAGCATGAGATTTTTTTAAACATCACAGACAAGGGAGTATCCTCACATACACACACAATCTCCCAAGTCACCACAAGCACTTCACAAGAACGCTAAAATGATTTACAAGAACTGCAAGGTTAGAACGGAGCAGAAAGGACGGAACAAACTGGGGGTCTTCACTGGAAAGAGGCACTGGGGAAGATACAGATCTTTAAAAAGACTTGTTTCAGTACAACAGCTGAAGAAGACATCTCCACTTGCGAGTGAGGTGCAAACCAGGAGTCATCGATGTTAAGACAGCCACTTCAGTCACCGTTTGGAATTTCAGAAGGGCCTCCTTTGCTTGGAGGGGAGTGGTCAAGGTGAATGGTAGTTAAAAAGCTAAGCGAGGAGGAAAGGAACAGAAGAATTAGCTGTGGCTGAGATGGAGAAGTGTGGGCTCAAGGGCAGAATAAACACCAAGACAGCAGCTCAACTTCTTGTGAAAAGCCTATGTAATTTCAAAATGTGAGTCCAAAAATAGAGGGCATTGGTTTAAGGCAAGAGGGGAAAGATTTAAAAGGGACCTAAACAATTTTTTCACACAGAGGGTGTGCGTGTATGAAACAAGCCGCCAGAGGAAGTGGTGGAGGCTGGTACAGTTACAACATTTAAAAGGCATCTGGATGGGTACATGAATAGGAAGGGTTTAGAGGGATATGGGCCAAATGGGACTAGATTAATTTAGGAAATCTGGTAGGCATGGACGGGTTGGACCGAAGGGTCTGTTTCTGTGCCGTACAGCTCTATGACTGTACTTTTTTTTACTTTAAGTTTGCTTCAATACTGTACTTTCGAACATTCCCAGGACAAGGTCAGCATGCAGTTAGAGTTAAGCTCTCTGCATTTTTTTTGAACTGAAGGTAATCTCCCTCTACACCGTCCATATCAAATATTCCCAGGACAGGTACAGCATGGGGTTAGATTGAGTAAAGCTCCCTCTATTCTTTTAAACTAAAAAGCAAAGCTCCCTCCACACTGTCACCACTTAAAAATTCCCAGGACAAGGGGACAGCATGGGGTTAGAGTGAACCTTCCTCTATTTTGCTAAACTAAAAGTCTCTACACTCTCAAACATCAAGTAAACGTCCCTCAAATCTTTAACGGTAAAGTTCCCTCCACAGTTACCATTAAACACTCCAAGGCAGCACATGGTTAGGTACAGAGTAAAGGTTCTTCTACTCAAAATAAAGGCGTCCACGCCGTCCCCATCAAACTCTCCCACAGCAGGTTGAATACAGAGGCAAGATTTTCATAGAGACAGCACAAACAACAAAAGTGCATTTGATTATACTCGGAAGTAAGTTTATTTGGGTAATGAATATAAATATGTAACAGTGTGCTTACAACTGGATAGCTACCGAGCAAGCAGCAGTGGATGTGCTGAGCCCCAAAGGAGACTCCATCCGCCCAAGTTTAGTACACTGTCATGTTGTTAGATCAGAGTTGACTTCGGCACTGCTCAAAGAGCTTGAAACAAAGCTGGAAGCAGTTGATATAACTGTGTATGTTAGTTGCAGCAGTGTTTCCCCTGAAAGAGACAGAACTGTCTAATATTACATGGTGTTTGCCCAGGTGCAGGTGATGTGTCAGAACAGTCACACCTATTGCAGCGACACTCTTGACTCCCTCAGATCTGAGACGGTGATTTCTTATTAATGCATTTTGCGAAGCATTCTTCTGTTCTGGCCTGTACGGAGACGAGATGGAGTTCAGAGTACGCAGCTAAATCCGCTCACCTCCTTCGAAGGAATCCATGCCTGATCCCAGACTTGGAATGTACAGACTGGCATCTGAAGGAATAAAAGTCAACATTGGTATCATCCAATCTGTAAATGAGTATGTAGTTACTCATTACATGGTACCACCCAATGCCAATCATGTCTGTATTGCCAAAGATACACTATTTCCTACAGACAGTCCCACTTTCCCACACGAGGCTCACAGCTTCGAATGTTACAACACACCAAGTGCTCATTCAAGTAATTTTTAAAAGGTTGTGGGGTTTCCACCTCAACTACCCTCCCAAGGGTCGAAACGCCTCTCACCGCGCCGTTCTGCTGATCCGCCTGGAGGCTGCAACTCTCAAGGTTGACATTTCTTCCCATTGCCTTCTTGCAGGTAGTCCGGCCCAGCACCATCTCCACATGGTACAACATCCCCTGCACCACCTGCGAACAGAACGTCCAAATTTTCCATCAGTTCAGTGCTGGGGACACAGCAAGCATCCTCCACCCCTACCCCATCAAAACGCAAAAGGAGGCAACAGTCAAATCTCTGCCCTCGCCCCATTCCCATCCACCAACCGC